CATCTTCTGCATATGCTGGTGGCTGGTGTTCGGGCCTGGACAAGGCCAACCGTCTTGCATACCAATCTAATGATGCCTTTTAAAGATGCAACTCACATGACACCTCAGGGAGTTGCGGATTGGACACTGGGGTGGGGTTGTTGGAGGGAGGGGGCTGGGTAATCATGTGATATGTACTTGTTCGCCCCTTGCTGGCTCAGATCTTGCTTTTCGTTCGCTGCTATCTTTTCGTAACCAGTAAAAGTTTTTTAATTTCTACGAACAATGGAATTGAGTGTTTTCTTTCTTGGTTATTGATGGAGGCACACCTGACACCTATATCTAGCAATGAAGATAATATTTATCTTTTCATTCTAAACGAAGGTTGATCATTGAAATCTGAATTTTTTAGCTTGAATCTGGGATAGTGTAGTCAACTGCACAACACCGATTGCTGTGTCATCATTTTTGGGTTCAAACTTATTCCTTTCTGTCTTCGTGTTATAACTATTGACTGATTTGCCTGGCAAATAATAACACGTTAGTTGGCTATGTGCAAATATTCATCTATTCCAAGTAACTGGTACAAGATGGAGTCTGCATGTCATTTCATGGCAGATTTAAACTAAGCACCTATGTTATTTAGTTGTATGATAGCCAACAGATGTGCTGAGATAGCTTGAGCTTCTACATTACAGATAGCTTAATTGGAACCAGGCTGCAGAATGTCTGATCAGTGTCTAAAGATTTAAGGACCTGAAAAAGCAGCAGGCCAGCCTATCTTAGCCATAAAGATCAATTGTCTCCTAGAAGGAGCATCATTGCAAGAAGAAGGCCAATTTGCCTAGTTTCAGCCAGAGAAGAAGGAACAGATGCTGGGAGATGGCTTTGCAAAATCCTCACTCAATTGACTGAAGTACCAGTACAGGTAGTAATGAGGGAGATGCTTTATGTTTGGCAGTAGATTAGGAAATCCAATTGTTATTCCTTTTGTCCTTCTCTACTCTTTCCTTAGGTAAGGTTTTCTAGAAGCTTGATGGGCATTTCTTTTTTTAACTGGTTTTGGAGCAATGATAAAATCTGTGGAAATAAATATAATAAACAATGTCTTCATTCACACAAACAGACATATTTTATTACAAAATACACTGAGCCTCAGCAGGAAGCAATATCTAGTCAAACTTGTCTAGGCTCAAAAGCAGAGGAGCTTTTAGTATTTGGAAAGGGGAAACAGCCTGGGCATTCCAAGGATAGACAGAAAAGTTGAAAAGAATTGTCAGAAGAAAGCAACGTCAAACCACATTTGTATTTTACCAGGAAAACAACATGAACATTACATGCAGTTACCAAGTGTTGAGTATGACTTCAGGGTATCCTTAAATTTAAAAATATACTGAGGCATTTGTCACTTTGGAGGGCAGCATGTCTGACTCCCAATCTTCATTGGAAAGTAGGTGTAGTGAGAAGTCTGGAGTTAGGAATTGAGTAGGAGAGATTTTGAATAAATCATCAGAAATGGAAGGACCAGATTTTGCCCTAATGATTCACTAAGTGCAACTTTTAGTTTTCTATCAGCCCTAATCTAGGCTGCAGACACCTGACTACCTTAAAGGTTTCTTGGAATGGTTAGATGCAGGGGTGGGATTCAGCCGTTCGGACCGGTTCGGGCAAACCGGTAGCTCCGACGATCAGCTGAGAGCGAACCAGTTCTCTCTGGCGATCAGGTTGGCCCACCTGACTGCACTTCGCTTGCTTATATCCTCTCAGCTGATTAGCACAGCAGAGCAGATTGCCATGCCTCAGCTGTGTTACTCCCCAAGAAGTAACATAGATGGTAAGTTTTGGTAAAACTGTGCGCGCAGCTCGCGCATGCGCAACACGCGATCACCGAACAAGTTGTTAAACCAGCAGGATCCCACCACTGGTTAGATGTATGCACAAGTATCCACAAGAGCCACATTGGTCTAGTGGGGAATGCACCAGGCTAGAATCCAGGAGACTGTGAGTTCTAGTCCTGTCTTAGAAAGCCAGCTGGGTGACCTTGGGCCAGTCATTCTCTCTCAGCCCATTCAACCTCACAAGGTGGTTGTTGTGGGAAAAATAGAAGGAGGAAGGTATGTTGAATATGTTCACAACTTTGGGATATTGATAAAAATGTAATAAAGATGAGATATAAATAAATAAAACAAATTAAAAAATATCCTGGCAATTAGCAATATAGTGTATGGTTGATTCCTCTGTTCCACATTTCTGCTTTTTTATTTATTTATTTTTTAAACATTTCTGCTTTTAACCTAGTCCCAGCCCATATCTGAGACACCTTAAGGGTATTCTTAGCTACGGCAGTTTGTCTTCTAATACAATTTTTTAATGTGATTAACTATAGCATGTAGTTTCCCAAGAGGTCATGGGCAGAATCTGTTCAGTTCTTCTTGGCAATTTTAAGCTACTGCAGACATGCCCCCTCATTTTGATTACTGGGAAATATTCTCCATGGCTATTTTGATACATAATTTCTACAAAGGCAGCTGCCCGTTGTTTCCAAAGATCTTTCCAAAGTACATTGGGCCACTTTCGAAAGGACTGGTCAGGTATTAGAGGGTTCCATGTAAACCTCTCCCTCTCAAAATCATTTTTTTAAATGAAAAAAGCTAGCCAACTTTTGCCACCTGTGTGGTTCTGGTTACATTTGGGTGTAATACAGGTAGTCCTTGATGTACAACCATCATTCAGCCTGGAATCACAGTAGTAAGTTGTGCCAGTCATCAAGCAGGTCATCACACGACTGATTTGATTTTTATACCATTTCTGCAACGGTCACTACGTGAGTCACGGTGGTCATTAAGTGAACCTGAGGTTGTTATG